TGGTGACGGTGCCCCAGCGTCGCGCCGAGTGACTCCGATGCCGAAAGACCCCTGGGGCCGTCCTGCCCCCGCTCCCCGCCCGGGCGCAGCCGCGGGGGAGGCAGCGCTGCGCCCCGCACCGCCCCCCCGGCCTGAAGCGCGTGGGGCGGTTCGGTGACACGGGGGACGCGTTGTTCCGCTGAGCTGCTGAAGGATAAAGCTGATTTCCTTTCGTTTTTCCCAAAGAAAGAAGTTTTGGTACGACAGCCCTACCCTGGGATCTGCAGCGGTAAGTGCAGGCTTTTAAGGTGCTGTGTTTGTGCCGGGAGGAGCAAGCTTGTGCTCCTGCCGTTGTGTCTGACTTTGGGAAGAGCTTGTTCTGGTGGAGAAATAGCAGAATTTGGTGAATTCTCCACTTTCCCTATGACATGCTGGGGCTGCTGTTGACAGAAACCATTTGGCTCCCCGTGGCTGTTTCCTCTTCTGTGCTGATCTCTCATCCGCGCCAGCACCGACCCTCTCTCGCACACTCTTGAGCCCAGAGCAGAGAACTGATCCAGATTAAAACTCCTCTATACCAGCTTAGTTTCACTTTTATGGAAAAGAAGGTTTTATGTTTGTTTTTCAAACAAGCAATGCTTTTCAGTTAACGCAGGCTGTATTTTAGAAAATGAATTTATTGAGCTGTAGAACTTGCTACAAAATAATAAAGAAACTAAGAAACTTTGACTGTAATACATGAAGGTCAAAGATTTTGTGATCAGAAATATTCTTCGTTGAAACACTTGGCACATAAGACCTATATAAATAAGTCATCACAGCTGCAGTAATGGCATTCTAACAGCATACTTAGTAGGGTGCACAAAGCTGTATATAATTGCCTAATACAAGTTTGTAACTACTGATTAATACATTGTTTGTTTGGGTTTTTTTAAGATGTATAAACCAGCCAAGTTGGCCTCGGTAAGGAAAGAAGACTGGATGAAAACTAGAAAAGAAGATAACATACGCTGCAGAGTCTTGAATGGTCTTCTTCATAAAGCTGTGACAGAGATGATGGCTACCTGTGAAGTTAACCAAGAGCTTTATGACCTCAAGCTGGAAATCTGCAAGGCAAGTGCCAAAGCTACAGCCTGTGTTGGGCTGCGCCTTGAGGTCAGCGCGGCACGCCAGAGGAGCTCCCCTGGGCTGTGATCTGGGCAGGAGGAGCTTTACTGCATCGCTTGTGGCGTGGCAGGGTGCGGTGAGACGGGGCTCTGGGTTCACCTCGCACAGCAGGAGAGCTTTGCCGCTGTTGTACCCGGCTTAGCAGACCTTTGCTGCTGTAGCACAACTGCAGCTTAGGCCCACTAAATGGTGATTCTGCTGGTACGACTGGTTTTTTCTGTTACAGGCACATGTACTATTTGCCTTGTGCTTTCAGGAGGTTTTACTGACTCGGGTGTATCTTTCCAAGAGCCTTTATGCAGCTGTGTGGGAGTTAACACCTCCTTGTGTCCCTCACCAGCATCCTTAATAGGCAGAAGACCTAAGTGTGGGGCATGAGCTTAGTTCCAAAAAAAGGCAAGGCTAAGAAAATGGCATTGGCAAGGAAGGTTCCAGAAAGAATTGGAATTGGTACCTAATTTTAGCTAGTGTTGGCATAATTCATGGGTTTGAAAGGGATGTTAAAGCTCTGATTCAGGAACTAAGTCAGTCTCCACATTCTCATTGTCTGTGGCTTTTTTTCTTCTACGCTTGCTGTTTTGTTGAGATTAAATGGTGCCAATGTTTGGCATAAAAGCTTGATGGGCTTCGCTTTGTTAGGAGCGTGGGAAGAAACCTGTACCTCATAGCTCCCTCTCTGACAAGGGGTTTGTCGTTTATGGCTGAAACGGATGTTCTTGCCAGCTGAATTCCTTCTGTCTTTGGGCACGTGAGTAAAACGACACGGGCAAGCTGGATCTTTAGCTCTGTACGTGCAGTGTCCTCCATACAGGAGTTCGCTCTCTCTAGGGCTTTGAGGGTTGCTTGTCCAACTCGGATGGCGTGTTGGCACGTAAGAACACAGGCTGGTGTAGGCAAGCCACAGCACTTTCAAGAGATACTGCTGTAAACAAAAAAACGGAGGGAGCCTTCTTCCAAATACAGTGCAGTCTGTATTGTAACTGCGCAGTGCTTAGAGTCTGCGCTGCGCTGGGACGTGGCGGAGGCTCGGTCCTGCTTTCCTCTTGAGCTCATTCTGGTCTGACAGTGTTACTTCCATTATCAAAGGAAACACCCCAGTAGGCTTTCTGCAATCCATCAGAATTTGGTTTTTTCGGTATCAAAAGTCAAAATTACATAATAGCAATACAGATAAGAATCATGCTTCAGGCTGAGCCATCAAGCTTTTACCCACTTGATAACACTACCCATGTGATGACGAAGAAATGGCGTGTGTTAGATATAGGGTTGTCCATGGGCTTACGTTGGACTCAGCGTGGGAGATGAGGAGGGTTGGTCCTGCGGTAGAAACAGCTGGTTAACGATCACAGTGGGTTTCCTGAGGGAGGAGTTATTTGGTGGTGGAAAAAATCAGTATCTCCTTCGGTTTTTGGGGACAGTTGGTTCTGCCCTAGGAGAGAGCAGCGCTGCCGACAGCAGGCTGTGGTGCCGTTTTCCCTCCCGGGAATACTCCGATGGAGCTGCCTTTTCCCACTGATGTATGTAGACCCCTGTTTGTGTGAAGAGTTGGTTTCTGGACTGGGTGGCTGCTGAACTGTGCCTTCCAACGGGTCATTGATGCTCTCTCCTCCCCCTTGCTCGGCTCCTTCCTTTGGCTGGAGCAGACGGGTATTAGAAGTTTGCTGAGTGTGCTCTCGTAGGAAGAACCTGCTCGGTCAGACGCTGCTAGATGCGCTGAAGGGCAGTAGCAGAGATCTTTTAGAATCCAGTTCATCTTTCAGAAGTTTGCCCTTGTGAGGATTGCCAGTCTGTCTCACGTGTGCTTCGGCCCCTGCACACCACGCGTTTGCAGTGCCTGACCGCCAAGGGTATTATCTGCTAGCGAGCCAGAGGTTCGGGCGCTGGAGGTTCCCAGCAGGGTTTAGAGCTGGAGAGAAGACTCTGACGTTACTGTGGTGTGGAGGGCGTCCTCTTTTCTGTCAGTGACAGACTCTGAGTGACAACAAACCAGGCAGTGTCACAGGTCCTTCTTTGGTGGAAACTTAGGCTTTCAACTCTGTTCCAGAGCAGCGCTGTAAGTCGTCGTTCTGGACTATTTGTGACGGTGGCATCTTTGTCTTGACTAAACGTGGCACTGTCAGTAACGCAGAGGTGTTGGCAGGCTTCTGCACTTGATTTCAGTTGAAGGGGAGATCAGGCAGTGCCTTGCCTACATAGAAGAAGTCCTTTCAGGTGCTGAATGTAAATCTGATTTGGTGTTAGACTCTACCTCTGTGAAGGCACCATGTAATTATGGTTCTTGAGAGGAGAGATGGAAGAAGAGATTCTGCTAAGAATTTACATATCCAGTTTCGGTCATTCTGTGCTTAATCATGAATTAGAGACTTCGCTGATGATGAAGTGTGTGTGTGTATATAATTTTAAAGAAACATCTGTCCCTTTGCAGGTGTCCCTGGCATCAAACTTTTCAGCGTGTCGTGTGTACTGGAATCCTGCTGCTACTGCGGAGAAAGAAAGTTACGTGGAAGGCGTGCTGCAGAGGAGCGCTCCCCGTATACGGTACTGCGGTGGGGTAAACAGTGAGACCCCCTCGTGAATTCACAGCCATGTACTGGCACCATTTCTGAAGTATTTCTAACAACCTGTGTCTGACCTGTCAGGATGCGTTAGGATTTTAGATATTTGGAGCCAGAGCATCTCCTGTGCTGAGCCTCCTGCTGGAGCACAGCTGGCTTGTTTGGCTTCGGCGCTTTCCGAGGGTTGGCCTGGGCTGAGCAGAAGGAAAGAGGAGCCCGGGTGACGTGTCACTTGGTCGTGCTAGCGGCGGTGGGCTGGGCGTGCTCTGCCCAGAGCAGGCCGGAATAGGACGCTGCACAAGAGGACTGGCAGTTACCAGCAGTATCTCCTTGCAGATTCGCTGGGCCATTCCGATCGCTCGGGACAATTTGGACCTCCAGAAGGGAGGACTGATAGTACAGAAATTCTTCACAATACTGATACTAAAAAAAGAAATGGCGGGATGCTGCTGTCTATTGTGATGCATTTACCCATTTTTGGCAGAGAGTCCACTGAGTTTTCAGGATATCATAGAGGTTTTTGTCTCTCCCTCTTCCCTTGGCTTACCCTCTGCTATCCAGCCAGTCTGTTGGAGGATCAGGACTTCAGCCCATGGGGAAGGTGACATTGAAACAGACTCGTAGAGCCGTTTGCTTTCCCCCCATTTCCCTAGGCTCTGTAATTCCTGCTCCAGCACAGTGCTTGCTTCTACTCCCAACAGCTTCCACTCTTTGAGCAGGAGTGTTGCTGGCTGGGAAGGAGACGAGGGGAGCCCTGTCCGTCCTTCCTGCAGCTGGCATGTAGGACCTGTTGTCTTGCCCTGCTGTGGGGGCTCTATTCCCCCGCTGCTCATAGCCCTACAGTGGGGATGAGGAAGCCAAGTGAAGTGGGGCAAGACCTGCGCCCGCCTGTGCATATAGGAGGCAGATCTCAACGGGATGTGCAGCTGGTAGTTTTTGTATGTCGCACATTCAGAGTTGGGGTTCTGAGCGATGTATGGCTCAGCAGTAACCTGAATGGATACCCATCAGACTGCAAGTTTTGCAAACCATATCCTTAAATTTGCAGTACTGCTGGAATTAATTTAACATCTTTTATCTGTCCTGGAGGTGCTGTACTGTTAGTCATACTGGTGACTGCTGTATTTTTGCCAGGTATCTTCTGAAGAGTCAGCAGATTGTAGGAAATGTACCCCCGATAATATTTATCAAAGACAAAGAAGCTGCAGCTGTGAAAGAGGTAATTGTAATCTTTGACTCAATGTGCAAATACCCTGATGTGCAACCACGGTCCCTTGGCCTACCATAGTGCTTAGGAATACAGCGAGAGCTGGTCATTCAGTTCCATCTCATTCAATATCAGTCTTTGCCTATACCCTTTCCTCTTCATGTTCCAAAGCATTTTGGCAAAGAATCTTGAGCAAGGCTGGTGCTTCTATACAATGTAAAAGAATCCCTGTGGCTATTGCCTCATGAACTTCTTTTGATGCTGCTACTAAAATTTCCGAAGTAGTGTTTGCAGAGAAGCTTGTATGCCGGATCGTTAAGCCAATAAGGGAATCCTAAAAAGTGAAATTACAATTTTAAGGAATAATACAGAGTAGGCAGTTGTCTGTTGCCTGGTGTACATGATTATACAAATGAGCTCTGAGGAGCTGTCTTCCGCATTTTGAATGTTCTGTGTTTTTAAAATTCTGTTGAATCTAATTTTTTTTTTTTTAACCCCAATCTTTTTCCATCTGCAAATTGTTGAAACGTTTCTAGGGTAGTGCAGATCTTTGAACGGAGGATGTAAGCTCACTCATAACTACTTTTTTTTCCACTTAAAAAATTATCTTTACTATTTCACATTTTTCTGTCAAGGTGTTCTAGTTTTAACTAGTTGAAGTATTGCTAGAATAATGGTGTTTTCTAGGAATTTTCTGTCATTAGGGCTGTGAAGAGAGAACTCTTCGATAGTGAGATTTCCAGAAGAGAAAGATGACACCAGCGAGTGGAATGTCCTGAAAAACCTCTCCAGCTGTTGATGTGAATGGAAAGAACGTTAACTGAAAAGAGCGTGTTCCCATTTCTGTGCCCTGAAGTGCTTTATCCTTAGCTGCGTTACTATTACAGCCGATTACTGTTAGTGACTTACGGGCTCAGGCAGTGTGTATTAGCAGAGCTGGGAGGGGTAACAAGAACTTCAGGCTCTCTAGAAATGCAGTGAACTGCTTGAACTTCCTGTGGTCAGAAAGATTCTGAGTTTCATGCCGATTTGCTGATCCACAGTGTGAGTATTTTTCACCTGCATTAGCATCAACCAAACCCACAAGAATAGAAGTGTTCTAAACGCTTCTGAAAGTTGTTTATATTCGTTATTTTGCTCCCCCTGATCAACACAAGAAGTTCTACACGACAAGTAACGAGTGGTTGTGGAAGCACTTTGTTATTACTCTTACTCTGTTGTTAACATACCCAGATGGAGCGATAAACATCTGCTCCTGCAGGTCCTGCCTTTCAGGTCTGTTATTGAGGAACCTGTTCCATTAATCACTATTTCTCCAACTTTGCTAAACGTCCACTCTTTTTTGAAGAAGAAAACCCCTGGACTACCTTACCTTTGAGTTCAGTGCATAGGCACCAAGCAAGTTAACCACACAAGGCAGTGAAAGCCCTCCTTGTGTAGCTTCTGTCAGTGGAAGGCACTGTGAAGCCCTTGGAATATCTTTTCACACTTTGTGGATCATTGGATTCGTGTCATCCAGAGGTTCAAATAACAAGGCTTGAAATAATCGAGCCTGATTTTTGAGTATTGGAAGAGAGGAAAGGACCATCCAATTCGACTCCCAGAATAATATGCTGAACTAGAAGGGAAGTAATGTGAAGAAAAATAGGAATAAAAGTTTCAAATGAGATGATAAAATTTTCACAATTAGGTACAGTCTATAAGCACTGGATGTACTAAATTTGCGGCACTTACTGGGTAGGTGCCATGTTAAAAGGGAGCTGGGAACTCAACATTTACATGTAATAGAAACACAAACTTGCAGAAATGCAGAAGTGAAAAAAAAATCTCAGTGTAAGAATGTTACGAAAAAGGATTTGCAAGACTGAAGTAAGACCAAATAAACCAAAAATGATGTATGTCCCACAATCCCTAGCCAACTGTGCAGAATGTCCGTGAGGCAAAAGACTTTGTGGGAGTCCCTGGATCAGTTATGCCATTTGACACAAACTTCCCAGGCAAGAAGTACAGGCAGTTCTGTGTCGATGGAGGGAAAGGCTGTTTTGAAATGGTTTTGCTAAATATTCCAAACATGTAGAAAATAAAATATCTCTGTTAGATACTTGTCTGTTTCTTGAGTAGGTGTGATGAAAGTAAATTTAATACAGGACCTTTAATATCTATTGTCTTCTTGTATTTACAGATTGAGGAGTTGCTGTCAATTGCTGATTTTGGACCTCCAGAAGAAGAAGAAATATTATCTCAAGATGATTCTAGGTGGGTTTTTTGAATCAGAATTGTACAAGTGTCTGTTTTCATCTCTGTTGGCCACCTTAAATTGGTATTATTTGACATGACAAAGTCAGGTGCAAATCAGAAATAGCTTCTTGGGGGAAATCATTGTTGTGACAGATTTTTCCACAGGGCGTCTAACATCTTCCTCTGTTTGTGTCTTGTGGAAGTAAGTCCCGCTTAAGGTGCCATATGCTGTCATTCGGGGGTCTGTGTGATGTGTTTTGGGCACAGGCTGCTGCTGCTTCTCCCTTCTTGGGGGAGCTGGGAGAAGTCTGACTTCCTTGGGGCTCCCAGGTCTGGTGCTCACAGTTACCTATGCACAGCTTCTCCCAGAAACAAGCCGTTTCATCTGGAATGCAGTTGTGGTGTTGGCTTCCTCCCATTAAATCTGTTGACAACGCTGACAGGCTTATACAGAGCCTGTGCGTGGACATGGTGGTATCTGTCCCTTCTTAGCATAGGGAGCACAGTGCTGAGCACAGCGCAGTAATAAACTGAAAACTCCATTTATTTCTGTTTTAGTCAAATTGTCACAACTAGCGTTGCCCCTTGAAATATACACAGGGAGAAAACCCACAGCATTTGTTTTCCTTTCCACAGTAAACTGCTCTCTTCGGGAACTCAGTCTGCAGATTCACCGATGCGGTCTAACCTGTTTGGTATCGATCATGAACTGCTGAATAAGCAGATAATGGACTACAAAAGACTGAAAGTGTCAAGAGATACAGAAAGCATTGCCTGGACAGAAGAACAGCAGCAGCAGCTTTCTAAGATTCAAAAGAAAAAGAATAAGAAAAAAACAAGGAATCCTCCTGATGATGACATTACCCCACAGACATACTTGCTGGACAGATACAAAGCTGAGTACTGGGATGACAACACTGGGTCGGGCTCGGGCTGTGAGCTGGAGGATGAATTACAGGATGAGGTCAATGAATTGGAGGCGGGTGATAGCAGAACTCTAAGTCAGCCTCCTGCTAAACTGGAATGAGGCGAAAAAGCCACTCCCTTTAAAACGGAGGCTGCCAACAGCAAAAGCCCGTCGGCCATCGATACTGAAAGGTTAGTTTTGCCCCCAACCCCCCATTTACCACTTCCTCTTTCAAACTGATAGGCTTGCCGTGCGTGGGGAGGTTTGCTAGCACAAGGTATGTGATGAGAAAACCAAAAATGTTGTTTGCGACCTTCTGTTAAGCAGCTTTCGAGCTGCTGCAGTTGTAGGACTTTTAACCAGCGAGCGGTTTTGTAATAACAAAATACACACAGTGCGACACTGAGTTGGAACTTTTTGCAGTTCTGTTGATTATTTGCAATAAAATTATGGTTTCTATGTGGAAGTAAAATGTCTTCTTTTTTTTTTTTTTGAGTCATCTGGATAAAAATAACCATAAAGTGATGGTGTCTGTTATTCTAAGGTCAGGAAGGAAGAGGAAAACAAAATAATGACAGTGGCGTTCAAAGAGCAGCCTTCAGCGCACACAGACCAGGACGGGGTGTTCTCTAGAGGACTGAGTCTCATGGGGGAACTCTTTCCACAAGAAGGTGAAACTTACTGCACTTATGGCCAATAAAGTTACAACCCTGAAAAAATAAATTTATTTATTTTAATATTCAGAAATGTACAGTTGTGCAAGAGGAACTGTAACCAGAAAAGAATGGAGAACTGCTCATCTGTTGGGTAAAACTGGGCAGAGCATTGACCATGGCTGAAAAAATGTATTAAAAACTCAAAGGTGGAGAAGCAGCAGCAGGGAAGAATGCCCCAGCAACTGTTTGAGATTTGGGAATGGGTGGGCAATCATAAGAAAAATGAGAATAAAGCTTTCTGGCTCAAAACAAGTAAAAAATAATGGCATGAGTGTATAAAGTCAGAAGGGCTGAAGCTTCAAAATGAGTTATAATTGACAAGGTAGTAAAAAGGAATTCTACCAGAACTAAGGAACACTTAATTCCGTTAGTTAATGGGGAAGTAAAGACAGACAATGCCGGGGAGGTTGCGCTGCAGTGCGTTGCTCTGGTTTTTCAAAAAGACAGTGAGTGTAAGCTCCACGGTATAAAAAATAATCTGAAGGGTTTTTAGGTTGAAGAGAGGAGTTCAGGTCAGGGAAGAACACTGAATTTCACTGTACGTTATTAAAGAATCCCCTCGAAGCATGTTCTACAGATTGATTGCTTGTAAGAAAATGGAGAGGATATGGGCTGACAGCGAGGAGTTCACTAACCCTCTCCAGAACGTGTAACGCAAGGAGGGCAACAGTCTCCAGAAAAGCCAGTGACAAAACTGGCATCATGGAAGGGAAACTAGAAAACCAAGATGCACCTCTGGCTGAGATCTTATTTTCTGTCCAAGGAGTTACTTATTTGTCATGAAAGCCAATCTACCCTGAAGACTTGGTTGCATATGTAGAGCCAAGAACTGTAGAATGAAAGCTCAGCAAAGAGAAAGGAATGGGTATATTGCTCGATGCTTTGCCATTTTGTCCTATATCTAACTCTGCAAGAGAGTAAGTGAAGACAAAAAGGTTTAGTTTTAAAGATTTCAAAGCTCTATAGGATGTGCCCTGTCAAGCCAGAAGAAAATCTTCATTAATTGGGAATAATGAGTTGCATGCCTGTTTTTCTTGCTTTCGGTCACTGCTGACGGCGCATTGCTGTGCTGCACTCGTTTGTACTTTAAAATCTACTGTGGTGAAAGACCAGTCATTCTCATAAAGACCCAACCAACAAAGCATCACACTTCAAACTGTAAGAATAAAAACGCAGGAATGTTTGTCTATTGCGGTAATTCTGACTTTTTTTGGTAGTACATCCTTCAGGTAGTCCATCGTACCTGGTGGGCTTTGTTCGGACTTCCTGGAAAGCAAATTCTAATGGAGAACACTTGTAGTTACCTTCAGTTAGTTACTCTCTGGCTCCAGGGAATAGGTAAGAAAAGCAAGAGAGAGGAAACGAAGCCATAGGAATGGGTGCAGTAAAATGGCGGTGCTGCAGCTGGTGTGTTGAGATCTGCGGTGTCTTGTGAAGGAGCCAAGTTCAGCAGCTGAGATCCATGGGCTGTCACAGTTTTCAGCAGCTTACCTGGGACAACCTGGCGTCATTTCATGTGATGATTGTTTTTATTCTGCAGGTTCAAGCAATATTTGTAGCCTTTTTTTGATCTGTCTGCAGTCGCAAGATTTACAAACTTTTTGTTATTGGTGGTGTGTTCGTGGCTTCCCAAATCAAAGCACTGCATATATGCCTGTTCCTGGCTCCCACACTAAAGCCAGAAGTCAGTATTTACTCTCTTTGACATGGGGGTTTCAAGGGTGCTAGGTGCTTGCTTCAGTGCTAGACTGAGAAGTCTTTGAGTGTCTCCACCGGTGTGTGTCTCGGGAGAAGGAGGCTTCTCTGTTTCTACTGTTTACTTCTTCAGTGGAAAACTTTGGTCCAGGATTTTGCAGCAGTCCCCTGCTTTGGTCCACAAGACCTTGCTAACTGTATTGACATTGTATTGACATTGCTAAACTTGTAATTGAACATCATCACCTGGTCTGAGGAGAGGCTTCAAACAGTGAGGAAGGGGGAGCTGCTACTGCTGGGCTCTAGGCAGCTTGATACACCTTTGGCTGCAATCAGACCAAAAAGTCTCTCCTGGGAACACAGGGTGTCTCCTGACAAAAGAAAACCCAGTGCAACAGAGCTTGGGTTCTTCTCCTGTTGGCCTGATGACGAGCCACAATGGCAGCCACAAAATCACAGAACAGTTGAGCAGGGGAGGGACCTCCATGGACTGTGTGATCCAACCCTGCTGCTCAAAGCCAGGCCAGCTGCAGCAGGTTGCCCAGGGCCATGTCCAGCTGGACTTCAAATATCTCCAAAGAAGACTCCAAAACCTCTCTCAGCAACTTGCTCCAGTGTTCAACCACCCTCACAGTAGAAAAGTGTTTTCTTTCGTTCAGACAAAATTTCCTGTGTTTCAGTTTCTGCCTGCTGCCTTTTCTGTCACTCGACAGCACTAAGAAGAGCCAGGCTCTGTCTTCTCTTCACCTCCTACCAGGTATTTATGAACATTGCTGAAGTCCCCCTGAGCCCTCTTCTCAAGGCTGAGCAATCCTATATCTCTCAGTCTCCCTTTTTATGAGAGATGCTCCATGCCCTATACTGTGAACAATTAGTAACACTGAAATAAATGATCATCTTAAGATTCAGCCTGTGTTTAATTACTTGCTAAATGAGGAGCCAAGACTTGCTAAGTACACGCGGCTTTTCTAGAGCATGGTGTTCCCAAAGAGGAAGCAGGCAATTCAAAACAAAAATGCTACCATGCAGAAGCGCCTAACCCAGTCCTTGACCAACTCCCGAGCTCCAGGGAACACCTGGACACATAACAAAAATCCCCATCCACTACAAACTTACGGCTAGAAAATATCTGGAACTACAGGAACAAAATACCTATCCAGCATAAATCCCACGGTACGGAAAGAAAATCACGTCTCTCATCTGTAAGGCTGATGGAAAGAAAGGATCAGCTGTGCTAGAGCAATCTCATACCTTCTTGAATGCTGAACTGAGCACCAAAGGGAGTGCCTGACATTTTTGCGCTAGCCTGAGGTTTTTAAACAGGCAAAAACCAATGAGGAAAGTGTATTGAAGGTGCGGGAGCTTCATTCACAGAGCAAGTGCTGCTCACACAGTAAATCTGCCTTCCCCGAGTGCTTGGCTGGAGACAGTGTCATCTGTCCTGAGCAACGATCAAGCCAGGCTTTAATGATTACACCCAAAACACAAAGATGGAGGTTGTCAGCTAATGGGCTCCAAATAGCTGCATCCATGGCCAATTTTTCTGGGGAGGAAGCAGAACTTCATCTAACGTTTCACAATTCATATATAATGAAAGGGCTGCCAAAGTGCTTACTTCACATATTTTTTCCTTAGGCAGCACAACAGGTTTGAAGAGCTGACGTGCATGTGGGTTTGCCTGTTGCTGGCAGTGCTGGTTTTGCTTGGTAGATTCCACCTGGTTATTACAGCCTAGGGAGTGTGCGCCTCCTTAGAGAGATGCTGAATAGCTTCAATGAATATTCAAAAGCAAACCAGCAAGCAGTGATATGATACCATCTCCTCATTAAGAGAGTCAAATCCTTCATCACTGCTGCTGACTCATGTCGCGTGGTCTCTGCCGCCGGGCAAGACCTCAAACACAGTGAAAGACACTTGGTGAGAGCTTGGGGTGTGAAAGTGGATGGTGGAGCTCAGGGCAGACACACAAATACAGTTACGCTGCACCAAGCACCCGTGTGCCACCGCACACCTGGGCAAGCCCCGACAGAAGATCCACACGGGCTGTCTTCCCTTTGCAGCCCTGCTCCCCTCCTGGAGCAGTCACTGCAGCTGTCGCGCCGGACTCCACAGCTTCCCTCTTCAGCCACCATCAAGAAGCAATGAGGTTTGCTGCAGAAGAAAGGAAACACTGCCCAGGAAACGGTTGTGTTACAGAGGGTTTTGGGGTGTCACGGTTTGAGGCTGGGCCGGTCACTCACAAGTGACAGACGCTCTCTATTAACACCTTTCCCCTCTCAAAAAAGGGAAAAGGAAAGAGAACAAGGGAGA